AATTGGCAGAAAATGATTAAAGGTTTAAATTGTTGATTCAAAACGAAAGTTGCTTAGATATTCGGAAATGATTCGTTTAGTTCTGATAATCGGGGCATTTTTTTTGGTTTACTCAACAAACAATATCACTATGACCTATAAATGTTGCGCAATGTTGTATTAAACAAGTTAGTTCGTTTCTTTTTAGCTCAAATGCTTAGAATAGACAACATTGGAATCATTGGAGTTTATCGGGTTATGTTTTTTGATGTCTATTCTGAGCCACATATACACTACTTCGAAAAATTTCATTAAGGAGACTCTTAGTTTATTTTTTAACCGATAAACAAAGGTTACGTTAAAAAATAGTTCAATGAGAACAAATTTGCTACAAAGTTTAATTGCCAAGAGTGTTTTTGATGATCTTTACAATAGTACAAGTATCCATAACTTGAATCATGACACCAGCTAAGTTCACTTTTCTGCATTGTGCTTTCCGTTTATAGCGTTTTATTAAAAAGCTTGAAATGATGTCAAGCTTTTAAACCAATTTTAAACCAGCTTTTAGTTAGGCATGAAACTTGGTGGCGAACAAATCAGCAATCTTAAAATGAAGGTTTTCAATGGTAAATTAACTTCTTTTGATGATACTTTTGATACATTTTTTTTGGACATGCTAGCTTTTTTTTCGAACACAGGATTTTTGCAATATACACTTATAGGAACTGAGGAACTTTTGATGTTGTTTGAGAGCTCTTTGTTTTTCTTCTTCAATCGAGTACATAAAAACCTTAGCTTTGGAGCAAAAATGACTTGATTGAATCTAGTATACAAATTGAATATGGATATTTTAGGGTTTCGATAACCTTAGTACCAAACTTATAATATCAGATTGTAATGGACGAGAATTTTAATAAATTGGATACTCATTTTCTAAGACCAGCACTTGATCTGACAAATCATGTGCTCCCTCAGTGGTGTCAATTACAAGGTTTTGAACTCCTGTTTGTTTTTTTAAGAACTTTGATTTTTCCTTTCTGTTTATCGGTAGTAAAAAGGAAATTTTCTTTTTTGTGTCAATTCATGTTCCAATTTCTAGCTTTGAGAGGTACTCAATTTAGGACACTTCTTTTGCTTTTTTATAGACAAAATGTTACTGTACATCAAAACGAATATATTTTTTCTTTGTTGATTACAAAATCGGGCATTTCTTATTGGGTAAAATCTGTAAGTTTTGAAATAAAGGGGTTTATTTTGAGAAAAAAAGGGACAAGGAAGTATTAAAAATTAAGCTCCATTTCTCGAAACTTTTTGATTTAAATTTTCTCGAAAGAGTGGGAAGAAACCGTGGAACAGAGTGGATTTTTTTCAGCCGATTTTGACATATCGAAGGAAATTTATAGGGATCTAAAGAGCTCTATATTAGAGGCTTTTCAGTTGTTATTCGCATACTCGCAATTTCGAGAAAATTCGGTCTGATTTTTCTCTTACTTTTCCCTGAATATTTAGTCTGAAATTGTGCAACAGTCTGAATACTGCTGATTTTGAAGATGAAGAAATGAAGACGACTGTGTGCTACTTCACCAACTCAGCAACCTTTTTCAAGTTTTTAAAATGAAAAAATGTGATTTTTTTCAACAAGGTTTTGCAAAACAAATGCTGCCAAATATCGTCTTTGCTTGGAAAGATTTTGGATTCAAGTGTTATTTCAAACGGAGTTATCTGAAACAAGGGTGGGTGATATCTTACAATAGGTGTTAACTTTGAATATGGCGCATGTATGAAATTTGAGATTTATAATGCATAGTATAGTCATTTCGTTTTCAATCAATTGTACTTGCTATAAGATAGTTTTTGTAAATACATTACACTGCCAAATGAAATGCTATTCAAAAATGCCAATTTTACACTTTTGCCAAAAATTTGAATTTCGGAAACAATTATAAATTGAGCTATGAAGTAGAAATTCGAATTTGCAGAGCGCTAATTTATGCGAGGTAGGTCGGAAAAAAACGACCAGATGTGACCAAGCATAATTAATCAGATGTTGCTAAAACCAATAAAGGATTTTCTAATGCAAAAATACCACAAGTTATATTTGCAACTTGTTATATGCAACAAGGGGGCTAGGGTAGGGTTCAGGACTTAGCCTCAAGCAACTGCTACAAAAAGTTTTCATCGAATAGAAAAATATATAATTTTTAGCAACTCTGGCTTAAAACAATCCATAACTTAAATGGACTCAAAATTGTCTAGTAAAAAGTTCTAGCCTATTTTTATAGAAAACTTCTAAAGACAATTTTCAGATCAGTTGAATTCTAACCTAAGTGTTTTTTTTCTAAACTAAGTCGTAAATATTGGGGTAGTTTTTGGTGGCACTTTTACGGCGTTTTGATAGCATGTGGTTTGACATTCGAGTATTAATAAATTACAACAGTTGATGCATTTTTAACTCATCAAATGATTCGAAAAAAAAAGCTTTTTGTTTCAAACAACATAACAATCATAAAATCTTGATTTCAGAATTTTTTAAACTCAATATAGTTCGTAATTTTTTAGAAATGATAGTTTGTACTTAATGTGGCTGTATGCTTTGTAATTTTTTACATGCAAAGTTAGTGTGGGTGCCTTCAGTTTGTTATATTCCAAATTATTACTTGCAAAATTGTGTCTGTTTGTATTTGGTGCCACTTTTGCGACATTACTTTGGCATTTTTTTAGCACGTGTAGCTGCTTTATTTGTGACTAGTATTTGCCGATTGTTGAGCGTTTGTGGCCGAGAGGGCTGGTCGTGAGACTCCAATTCTCGAGGTCGCCTGTTTGAAGCCAATACGTGGCAAAGTTTTACTAATTCCAGGCTGATTTGTATTTTTTCTTTTTTCTTATGAAGCTGCTTTTTGTCGTGTTCTCGCTACTGTTTGCGAAGCCCAGCTTCGCCTCTCTGTACAACATCAATTTGATATAAAATGAAAAAGCACTATTGAATTTGCAAACCTTTTGGATTTCTTAAAAATGTTTGAAAGTGTTTTTCCACAAAAATCACGAAGATTTCTCGGTCACAAAGATCTCCCGGTTATGCTTTTCCGGATTAAAAGTAAGATTTTCACCACTCGAAGAAATTTTTTTTGAGAAGAACTCCTAGCTCTATTTAATCACCCAAAAACAGAATTAAACTCAAAATTTTCAAAACGTGTTTTTTTCGACAAAGAAATTTTTTTCAAAATGGTTTTAAAGTAATTGGAATTACAATTGAAAGGGCTTAAATCTGATATATCGCTCAACCCATTCCGATGATTGTTTGTGGTACCTGATTTTGCGTGGAAGCCAAAAAAAAGAAAAAAAAACTAAAACAACCAAATACAAAATTTCTCCTCATTTTCAATAATCGGAACAATAACAAGAAATACACAAATACATTTTCTTTTAGAAATTGAAGGGAAAAGTTAGAATTTTTAGATCAACAATTGCCTTAGCGATTATTCAGCTCATTCAAATTGTTTCAGCGCTCCTTAAACTACAAATATATTCAAAAGATCATCCACACAACAAAAATTGGATCTGTCTAGGGACGCACATAACTGAGATCTATGGGTTCTCGGGATGTGTTTGACCTCCTGGGATCTTTTCAAAAGTCTGCGTCTTTGACTTTGTTTCCCAAAACTGCTGCTGAAATACCTCCTAGCGTCTGGGACCAAGCGAAAAATTGCCAAAAAGAACAAAAGCAAAAGACTGGTCGAACAAACCAAACAAAACGAAATGCTGAAGCCAAAATACGATCGTTTGATTTTGATTTGGACGAAGAATGTTTCCAAGATGGCAAAGAACTGAAAGTAAATTCTTTTGATTTGGGCGAAGAATGTTTCCAAGATGGCAAAGAACTGGAAGTAAATTCTTTTGATTTGGACGAAGAATGTTTCCAAGATGGCAAAGAACTGGAAGTAAATTCGCTCTTTTTTGAGTACATTTTTAACCAAAATGAGAAATTTTTGGAGGAATCGAAAACTTCCTCAAAGCAAGAAATGAAATCTAAACTAACGGACAAGATTCCTCAGAACGAGGATAACTTTTTTGTCGTCAATTTTGTCAGCAAGAAATTCAATCCAGGAGATACGCAAACAATGTTCAAAGATGGAATTGTTGAAAATATTCTTCGGAAAGGAATTTCTGCGAACGGGGGACAAACTTATAACATTGTGGGATGCAGTAACTCTCAAGTTCAAAAAAGATCCTTTTATTTCATGCTTGGCTCTGATGAAGAATGTAAATTAGTCATAAAAAGTTTCATTCACGACTTATCAGCTTTGGAGAAAAAAGGAGTCGCTAAAAGGACAAAATACATTGGGCTTTTGTTCACTGGCTGTCAGTATATTGTAAACTTACCTGAAGATGTGAAAATCATCAAAACGGACGATATTGAGCGAAAACATGTGGATATTAATCACAATTTCACAGATGGATGCGGGTTCATTTCATTCGGTCTGGCTGACTGGATTTGGAAAAACAATCCAATTTTGAGGGAAAAGTGGAAACAAATTCCAAGTTTGTGGCAAATTCGTTATTGCGGAGACGGCAAAATCTGTAAAGGAGTTTTAATAGTTGATTACAGAACAGAAAACAAAATTAGCATAACTTTCAGAAGTTCGCTAATTAAGGTCGCTGCTACAAGAAACGGACCAGTAGAAAATTGCCTAAAATTTAAACTTGGAATAGTTTCAACTAGCCAAAATGCAAAAATCGGATGCCTGAACAAACAAGTCGTTGCGCTTCTGAGTGCAAACATTCCTTGTGAAAAACTTCTTGAAATTCAACTTTCCTATTTGAACGATGTTAAAACGGCAAGAAATGATCCTATTTCGGCGCTTAAATGCTTGTCGCGAGGCAAACAAGTTGATTCGTTCAGGAGACTTTTGCAAGACTATCGCATTTCTGTTATACCTAGTTCGTTTGCAACACTACCGCAAAATGTTGAAATTCTCGCTAACGAGAAACTGAAACTGCCTTTAGCTTGTGCGAGACTTCTAATGGGCGCGTCTTTCCCTGAAACTTTGAACAGCAATTTGAAAACTGGCGAATGTGTCGTTCTTAATGAGTTCGGAAGTTTTATCGATGGCGATGTTGTCGTGTGTCGGAGCCCTTCGTATTCACCCGGGGACATTCGGGTGTTGCGGGGTGTCAAACTACCCGCTGAGCATCCGGTTTCGAAATTGCGAAACGTTATTCTCTTCAGTACTTCAGGCGAAAGACCCGATCCAGATAAAATGAGCGGGGGAGACTTGGATGGTGATTTGTACCTGGTAATTTGGGACAAAAGAGTTCTGCAATATTCCGACACATTACGTAACATTGAACCTGAAAAATACGACCCGCCTCTGAGCAAACCCACATCTTCTAAAAATCCGGAGGACTGGATTCGGTACGTTGCCCTTTGGGAAAATTCTATGCTTGCCCAAATTGACTCATGCTTTTTCCAACTTGCCGGTGAAAAAGGAATTAGTTCAGATGACTGCAGGGAATTATGTGCCCTTTTTTCACGCGCAGTTGACCAAATTCCTTCAGAATTAGAACAACTGAAACAATTTGCGTCGAAGGCAAGGAAGTTAGAAAATGGTCCGTTTGTTCAAAATGAATCGATGATGCCGATTTGGGAGAGAATGATGAAAAATCAGCTAGAAGCACTGGAATTGATTAAGCGTCGGAATACTTACATGGATTTGTCCGATTGGAGAAAATTTTATTCATTATTGGTTAGCAAAAGTTCACAAGAAATTGAACAAGTTTTGAACAACTTTGAGATTCAAGCAGTTACAACTAAGTTCAAAATTGTGAGTCTGAAAAAATCTTGGATAATTCTGGCAAAAAACAATTTCCAACCGCCAAAAATGGTAATAAAAGCTAAAGATGATGATGATGATGATCGCGAAACTCAATGTTCTGAAATTGATGCGATAAAATCAAATCTTTTGTGCACGTATGATTGTACGGATACAACATGCGCTAAATCGCATTCGGAAAAGTTAAATTGGCATCATAGTTGGAAAAATACTATGACCCAAGATATCGATGTTTTCATTAAACCCGTTCGGGAAAAAATTCAAGAACTGAAGTCAACACTCACAGATCAAGAAAAGAAACTTGAAAAGTTGATTGATGAATACAACAAAAAGGTTGAAAAAGTTACAAAGGAGAAAAATGTCTTGAAAACCAAATCTGACCTCTGTGGAACTTTCCTGACACGAGTGAAAAAATCAGAAGATCAACTGATTATCATTGCAGAATTCAAAAGAGAACTAAAGCAACTTGAAGATTCAGCTAAACCAGGATTTTTTACGTCAATCTTTCGAGACTTGGAAAACTTTTTTGCCCATAAATTTTTGAAGCGAGACAGAAAACTTTCACAAGAAGAAGAAGTTTTGATTGCACGACACAAATATTTGAACCATCGAAAAAAAGAAGCCGAAAATACTCTTTCGTGTGTAATAGATGAAGAAAAGCACAATTTTGAGGACTTCCGACAGAAATTGATGCCCGAGTTTTCAATCCCCGATCTAGATTTTGGTGATACTAAGAAATCTGTTTCCTTCCGATCAGATATCTTAAAAAGTTGGAAAGAAGAAATTTTTAAACAATGGAAAATGAAAGTATCAGAAATGCCAGAAGTGTCCGACGAAGTTTATGATATCAGTTCAAAATTACAGTCAAAAATGAATCGAGCTTCCGGAAAAATCGAAACATGTTTGGATCGGGTCGAAAAATTGACTGCAATGAAATCAGAAATTGAAGCATATACAATCAAACCAAAAAAAACTAGAGTTATCGTCAGAAAACGGCGGGAAATTATAACTACCCCTACAGAATTTCAAATCAACAAAAGCCCGGTACCGTCATTGAGAGAAACTTTATACAAAATTCTCAAAACCTGTCTAGAAAAACGTACCGATGAACTTAATTTTGAAATCGGTACTCTGAAAACGCGCAAAGAGTCTCTTGCATTTAAGTTGAGCCAGGCTTATGATCCAGATCTTCATGAAAGAACCATTCGCGAAATAAAACAAGAAACAATGACTGTAAACCCTTTCAACCTGGCACTGTGTGCCGCGATAAACGAAGTGAATAGTCGTTATGAAGTTTACGACAAACACAATTCCGAAACACGAGTTGCTTTAAATCGAGAACTGGAGATGTGCTTGCTTCGCGAAAAGAACCGCTGCCAGCGAGAAATAAGTGAAACGCCATTGCCTATCTTTTCAAAGCGATTTGAGTTGAAAGAACTCTTAAGTGAAAACAATGCTGTGGTTGTTGTCGCGGAAACAGGCAGCGGTAAAAGCACCCAAGTCCCGCAGTACCTCGCCGACGATTTGTTCCATGTTCTCGGAAAACCTGATGACTACAAATCTCCGAGAATTGCATGTACCCAACCACGTCGGGTAGCTGCAACTAAGATTGCTCATAGAGTTCGCCTCGAGTATTCAGGAAGCGTTGGCATCGAATCAGGTGCAAAACTCGAAGAATCCCAACCGGAGAGGGTTTTCAACTCGAGTAAAGCCTCAATTGTCGCGTATCCGCTTTACGCATCATCAGGGTCCGAAGAGCGATCGCTTAATGAAAATGATCGGCTCGGTTGGTACGAAAACTTGCCGAAGGATTCTCGCGCAGGAAGTCAAAAAAATATCAAGCAAGAGCCGAGTTTGGACTCCAGACATTCGGGTACACCTGCCGAAATAGGGGGTTGGGTCGGTTTCCAAATTGGATCTACTGGCAAGTCTTTCGAAGAGAGAAAAAATAGTAAGAAAATTTCGAGTGGAACACGAATCGAGTTCGTGACCGAAGGTTTGCTGCTGAACAAACTCAAAACGCAACAAGATTCAACCTGTTATGATTGCATTATAGTGGACGAAGCGCATGAACGTGGGAAAGACACAGATTTCCTAATGGCGCTGCTCCGAAAAATGCTTCAAAAAGAGGACTGCAAGCTCAAAGTTGTTGTAATGTCTGCATCCATTGACGAAGAGCAGTTCTCAGATTATTTCTTTGGCTGTCCTGTTTTGAAATGCCGCTGCAAAATGTATCCTGTTGTTGAACACTACAGACCAATTTCTGGCAATTTGGAACTGGAAACTGAAGCAGAAACTAGCGATGATAATGCAAGCGACGTAAGTGAACCTTCCGAACAGAGTGATGAAAACTTCTCAAAGACACTGACCAAAAATGTTGTTCACGCTGTTGATGTGTTATTCAAAGATGTTGTTCCAAACGTCAAAGGAGACGTGCTTATTTTTCTGCCCGGAAAAAAAGAAATCCACTCGGCTGTCGATTTGATTCGTACACGCGCTGAAAAACAGTTCAAAAGCTCGAAAAATTCTTCAGATTATGTCAGAAAAGTTGTATGTTGCACCAATATAGCAGAAACTTCGCTGACAATTCCAGGCGTCAAGTTTGTAATAGACGCAGGTCAATCGAAAAAGATGACTTACGACCACGAATCAAGAATAAGTGCTCTCGTGCTGCAAAATAACTCAAAAGCGTCGGCGAAGCAGCGGAAAGGTCGGGCTGGCAGAATTGAATCTGGCTTCTGTTACAGATTATGCTCCGAAGCCGATTTTGCAGAACTAGAAGACTTTGATGATCCCGAGTTGAAGCAGTGTCCAATCGATGAACTTTACTTATACGCAGTACAAGTTTTCGGGTCAATTGAAAACCTATGTTTAATGCCAGATGCTCAGCCTGACGACGATTCTTTACTCTTCGCGCGCCAAAGATTGTTAAATCTAGGATTTATTGTTGAAAACGGGAGTGATTCATCTCAAGAAATTACTCAAGATGGAGAAAAAGCTCTAAGCTTTCTGGGAGAGCTTTCACTTGAAGATGTACGGATGATTATTTCGGCAAGCAATCATCCAATTCCAATTGTACAACCAGCTCTTCAAATGGCAATTTTGACCAAAAATTACTCCGATTTGACGGTTAAAACTTCGCTTCAAGAAAACGACGAATCGCGGAGGATGCTTGAACGTCGAAACGTTTTTCTAGACGAACTCGGTGATTGTTTTACGTTGTTCAAACTGTACAGAGTGTATCACGATATCCTGAAACAGAGGAAAAGTTGCGAAATTATACCAAACAGAAATGTGTGGGCGCAAACTAAACGTCTTGGAGTTCAAAAATGGTGCGAAAATCTCGGACTTAGCTTAGAAGGTTTCAAATTTATTGACAAAACTGTTAACTCAGCCTACCAAAACTTAAAACGAAACAAAATGCTTGGCGCTGCTTCAGAACACTCAGTTTTACCATTGAGTTCAATCAGAAAACCGCTTTTGGAGGTTTTAATTTCTGGGTATTTTCACAACATTGCAGAATGGCATGACGAGAAATTGATCGATAGTGGATATTCGTTGATAACACCAGCAAATATTGACCGACCAATGTGTCATACAGGAGACAACAATAACAAGAATTTGTTTTCCAGCCGTCACAATCACTTAGTAAAAGTCCACTTGGGAAAAAGATCTTCGATTATGCAACATGGAGACGTTGTCAACAATACGTATTTGGTGTTTACAAATTTGATGAAAACTTCTGGTGGGAGAGTTTTCATGCAACAGGCATGTCGGGTCAAAGCAGAAATGATTCTGGAATTTTCAAGCAAAAGATGGCGAAATTACTGCAAAATTTCAGAAAACGTTTCCGGCAAAAACGAGCTGAAAACTTTCGTAGAAAGAGAAACAAAAGAATTCGTTGGTGCACAAATCCTCCGAGGAATTTTAAAAGCTAAAAAAAAATCATCTAAATCGAACAATTTTTTCGTTTATTTAAAAGAATTGATAGAAAATTCAGGCGCTGAAGTCAAGTTTCTTTTCGACTCGGGAAAAGTTTGTGCTTACGGATCTGTGTGCGAAGTGAGAAATGCCCTATACAACTCTCATTTGAATCAACATATCAGCCTTAAAATGAATGATTTCAAATTGAGAGACGTTCCGCTTAGATTTCCTGCCAATCGACCGATGTGCTCTTTCAAAGGACCAGGGATGTCTTTAGATAAAGAAAGTCTAAACTACAGTCAGGTACAACTTGTCGAAACTTGGGGCGATTTTCAGAGCTGTGTGCTGTTTTTCCGACATATTCTAAAAAATCAAACTGATAAACTGTTGCACTGTTTGGGGGAAATGAAAAGAAATTGTTTCAACAACATGCTAGTTGAAAAGTGGGGAAAAATTGAAATTATTGCAATTTTCGACGACGCACAGAAAGTTCCGTGTTGTAAAGTCAAGTTTACGTCGAAAAATGTTGCAGATTATGTGTGCGAAAAATTCAAAAGTGGTAATTTTGAGCTGAAACAAGATTTGCTGAAAGTTCACTGCTTTTTTGATAATCAGGTCGAAATTCCTGTTTGTGATACCAAAATTTATCCTTCTGTGCAAAAAGACGCAAAAAAGTTCAATGTGAAAGTTCGAGAGTTCCGTGGAAAAAGTTTTGCGTTAAGTCCAGAAAATTGGCGAGAAAAGGATTGCGTTGGAGATTTGATTAGGATGCTTGCGCAAAAACGAACATTCGTTAGTAGATCTATTCAGAATGTAGATTTCGGAATTCCAAGTTACCTAATTGATGAAATTACCTATTGCTTAAAATTTGCCGGGGAGAAAATTCAAAAAAAGTCAAAATTTTGTAATTTTAGAACTTATTTTCATTATACAACTAAACCATCTATCGAAATTTATGGCGATGACAAAGATGAGGTTTTTAAGGAGTTCGAAAACGCCATCAGAAACTTACGAAATGACATAGCCCATCAAAAATGTTCGTTTTTATACTTCGCTGAAATTCAACTTTATAGAAACCAATTTACTCTTCAGTTACAGAATTTGGCCAATTTGCGCGATGCTTTCCCTGAAGTCTTATTTACTGTTGATTCTGCCAGCCAATCGAACCGAGATCAAAAATTCCCGGCTTTGAAAATTTCCACCCGAAATAAAAAGCAAGGCAAAAATGCATACGACGAAATTCTGGATGCTATTAAAGATGAAACAAATTTGAGCATTTCTTCTAATAGCTGCAGAACAAGCTGCTGTAAATGTTTTAAAAAAATGCCCCTGCAACCAAAAATATGGAAGCGAAAGCGAGTTGGTGACAACCAAATGAAAATAGAATTGAGCGAAACTCTTTCAAGTTTGACACTTTGTGGATGTCTGTATTGTTCATCGTGTCTCTTCAATACAGTTTTGGAACAAATTCAAACCTACGAAAGTTTCCACGAGGTTGGCTTGCAATGTAAAAACGTTTCAAACGAAAGTGGCAAAACGTGCGAACAAGTTATTTTAAATCGAGATTTACTGAGCTCATTTGACGGAAAACGCCGGAAGTTTTTGAACACAATTCTGGAAGCGGCTTGGCGAGCGAAATTACAATACTTTTCCTGGTCAAGAGGACAAGATATTTGTATTATAAAGTGCCCGAATTCTGGATGTCAAAAATATTTGATATCAACCGAAAAATCGACCATAGTTGCTATATTTAGATGTCCCCTATGCTCAAGTTGTTTCTGCGCGCGGTGTCAAAGCTTAATTCAAAATGAAATTTCTTTCAAGCACCATTACTTGAAGAATTGTTGATTTATATATAATTGAAAAAAATATATACGCGAAGAAAATAAATTACTTGAATTTAGTCGTGAAGTTTATTTTAAAATAAATTATTTTTAAGAAATATGTCATTAAAGAATTTTGACAAAGTGCAAAATTAGTTTTTAAGTAAAAACAAGACTTGTATATCAGCGCAAAATCCTGAATGATCTAATTGCATTTAAGGCCAATAATAAAATTTGTTGATTGAATAATTGACGAAAAAGTTGGCAAAAAAGTGTTTTTTTTTTAATTTATCCCCTCACACGCTATGGAAAATTCAAAGGGCGCATTTAGCGTCTCATACTGTTTTAATAACACTTAATTGCTGGCCTCAATTCAATTTTGAGTGCATTAATTCGCCGCTTACGCCGTGTTTCTAAGAACGCAATATAACGAGCGTTAATTATCCCAGATTAGCAGTTTTCCAACTCCCGTAATTTTCCAAAAAATGGAATATCTTTTTAAATTTGAGCTTCAGACAACAATATCTTCCAGATAAATTTTAAATAATCTGTCACAAATTTTCAGTTAAAAGTTCGAATATTGACTGAATGAAAAGACCTCCCCAAGCATAAATATTCGGAACAAAAACAGGCACATGTGAGCAATCTCACCCTAAAAAAACAGCAATTTTATTGAACAAGTCAGTACAAAAAACGCTCACTTCTGATTAGTTGATAAAGATTGCTCTTAATAAAGTGAACGATCTCCTTCCTAAATTCGGTTATTCAGAGGTATATTGTTAATCTGGTCCAAATAAAAATTTATGAGTTTTAAAACTGAAAAGTTCGTATTTGGACGATGCTGTTTGAACTCAAATTTATGTTGCTTTATGTAAATTTAGCTTGAGAATACTTGTTCAAAAAACCTGTCTTTTTATCCTCAAAATATCTGTATTTTTATCCAAAATACCTGTCTTTTTATCCTTGACACGAGCTGAAATGACTTAAAATTTTTTACTTCAAAAATTATTTCAAAAATTTTTTTTTCTGAAAACTGATATGAAGTTTTTGATTATGGCTCAAAAAAACGATCATAGTCTAAGCGATAAAAACGTTTTCTCGAAAATTTCAGAATTTGATATGTTAGCAAGAATTTTTTGCATTCAAGCTTGTACACGCTCTGTTGGGGTTTTTATCTGTATTGATTCGTCCGGCAAATGCAAAACTACATTTTATTAACAGATATTAATTAAAATATCTATGTTTTGGAAAGACTGTTTTATAGTGAACTTTGTGTGCTCCAATTGAATCATTTAAAACAATGCGTTATGAAACCCCTCATTTTTTTTCAAAAATCTGAAATAAAAGCATTGTATTTGTCGAAAAACGTTAAAAAAAATGCTAACATCAGAGCGAAGCCCTCATTTAATTTTATTGCAAGAAAATTATTGGGACCTAATTGTTAGCATGTATTTTCATTAACATTCCCATATAAAAATTATACATTTGACTTTCTTGTTTATTCGAGATTTGATAACTCAAATTTGCAACTTTAAACAATGCGCATTTAACCGGAATCTTCAAGATCAAAAATGAAATGTCAATTTTCTAACAGCAGATCAAGTGGTTTCTAAAGTGAAACAAGACTGCTCGTATCAAGGCAAACCCCTGACTGACCGGACTCTCCATAAACTGGTCTCGAATAGATTTTGTTAATAAAATGTTGACAAATAATGAGTTTTAGGCTAAAAAAGAGTCGTAATTGAAAAACTAATTTTCTTGCTTCGATTGAATTTGGGACAATTTTGTGGTGAGGGATAATTCTCCACGCGTAAATGAAATTTATAACTTTCAGCATCAAAATATCTGAGCGCTCTTTAAGCCTTGTTGATTTAGTAGTAAAAGTTTCCCGGCTCTCTGCGTATCCGAATACTTTAATGATGAGCTCGCCTTTTTTGTGAACAAGAAGATCTAGGGAGTGATCCACATAGAGAAAATTTGTTGAGAATTGATCTGAGTAAAGAACGCCCGAGCTTATATGTTGCGTACTTTCTTCGAAAGTTGGAACAACAAGACTTCTCGTAGCAAGGCGAAACCTTGAACGTTCCGACTTTAAATTAAGGTATACGGAATAGTGTTTGCTTTTAGAATATGGGTGATAGTATGAAAAATGAAAAAAATTATTATTATTTTTTTAGTTTTAATGAAAACGTCACACCACACGCTATTTAAAGTACAAAGGGATATACGTCACGTATTGTGAAGTATTAAATAGAACAAATTGCTTGTTCGATGCAGTTTATAAAAATTTAAAAAACGATTACTAACCGTTGAAATATTTTTTCATATTTCAGCTCAGGGTAACAATAATTTTCAAATGAGTTTTTTACCGACACACCAGTAAACTTTTTAACATTGCATTTTGCATTATGTCTTTCAAAGACAAGTGATTTCAATTTTAATTTTTGGCAGTAAAGTA